GATATACCCTTCAGGGCCACCGTAGAATAGCCTATTGTCAACATAATTATGGAGTGTAATTTATTTTTAACTCAAAATATCTTCAAACTAATGAAATATAAAGTTATTAGTGAAGAAAACCCGTCTGGATAACAGCAGACTGACTGCTGGTAAAATATACGACAGGTCTGGACCACTCCTGAATTTTGTTCGTATCTGAAGAAAATCTTAAAATACGAAAACATTGGTGAATGCCACAAATTCTCCTAAATCACTCGTACGCACAACTTCAGAAGAAATCTGTGCGTACCAACGGTTCTTGCATGAGGCCCAATGTGTTGGTTTCTCTGAATGTTTGGACTTTAATAAGCCCCTCCCCCCACCGTCATACTTTCTTTGTTAGAGGCAGACTTTTAACTTCTAACCACCTGATTATGATGTTTGAGATAAAAAAGTAACTGTAACATTCTCCACTTGTTGAATAAACCTGCTTTGTGTCGTGATCTGTGTTTGTTTGTGTTTCAGTTTCAGTTGTTCTGTTTTCTCTGAGAATCACCTGTTTCCTTGTGTCTCCTCCAGGTGTTCCTCATTACTGCACCTTTATATCCTCCTCAGTGTGTCAGAGTTGTGCTGTTGTGTTTCCCTCAGGTTTTTTGAAGTTTGTCTGTATTTTTGCTGCCACGTCAGCATTTTTTCTTTTGTTGTTCGGCTCAGCTCCTCACCTGTTCGCTGGGTCGAACCTCACACTGTGTTTTCAGTTAAWAAATGTGAGTGTGCTCTCTCTTCGCTGAATAAATTCTATCAAAGGTCAGAGATTTTTACCCTCAGCACAGATTTTGTCACACAGATGAAAAAAGAACAAAGATGCTGATGAAGTCTGTTTTTCTTACTGAAACGTGTTTTAAACTGAACCTTCGACCCTCAGAGCAGCGACGTTCCTCTCCACAAGGGTTTGTTTTGGATAAAAGTCCCTCAGAGTCTTCACAATGAGCTCCAGTTTATGGTTATTATAATGTTTGTGTTTTCTTGATAAATCTGTTCAATCTTTTTATAACAGCTGGTTTTCTGACGGCGTCTCCGTCCACTGAAACATTTATTCTGCTGCACAAAGAGAAGAAACACCAAGGTGAGGCGCTGCTGTCAGACTCATCCTRTCCTCTTTGTGACATTAATAAAACATTTATTTAAAACTTTCCTCTCCAGCTTCACGACATGCTCTTAAAAATGATTTAGTACAAGGTAACACTTAATAAAACTATTTGAAAAAATAGATTTTGCACTAAAGTTAACAGAAAATTGTAAAATGTTAATAAAATAAATAAATGTTTGAACTCAGTTTTTTGTATAAACTGAGCCAGAAAAGGTCATTTAAGCTTTTTATTAAAGATAAAAAGTGTAGGGGTCACCTCGAGTGAAGAAAGAAGATTTACTGCCTCGAAGCAGGCCTCGGACAGGCCTGACGAGAGGACAGGAAC